AAGCACAACAACAGCAGCAGCAGCAGGAGCAGCAGGAGCAGGAGCAAGTAAAACAACAACAGCAACAACAGCAGCAGCAGCAGCAGCAGCAGCAGCAGCAGCAGCAGGGGACTGGAACCCCAGCAGCAGCTGAAGGAGAAGAAGAAGTGAAGCGTTTCTTAGAGGAGAAAGGAAGAATAATAAAGGCTGATGAGTTGCCGGATTGGGTGTTAGCAGCAGCAGCAGCAGTTGAAGCAGCAGCAGCAGCAGAAGCAGCAGCAGCAGCCGAAGCAGCAGCAGACGCAGAAGCAGCAGCAGCAGCAGCAGCAGCAGCAGCAGCAGAGTCTGAAGGAGGAGGAGAAGTAAACTGGATGGTGAGGTCAAGAAAAAGAAGAAATATAATAAGACCTAATTATGCTGATGGTGTCAGTGAAAGTTTTTATATTCGTTTAGTTGAGAAACTAGAATATGGAGACATCACCGAGGAGGAGTTTCACGCATCGCTAGCCAGAGCAGCAGACAAACAAGCGACAAAAAGGAGACAAACAAAGACAACAGCTTCTCCTTCTCCTTCTCCTGCTGCTGCTGCTGCTGCTGGTGGTGGTGGTGCTGCTGCTGCTGCTGCTGCTGCAGCACAGGGAACAGCAGCAGCAAAAAAAAAACCACGCAGAGGGAGATACTCAAAGACTGCAGATATATTGCCTGAGTCAAACACAAACAGCAACGACAACACACAAGACAACGCGTCAGAGCAGCAGCAGCAGCAGCAGCAGCAGCAACAGCAGCAGCAGCAGCAGCAGCAGCAGCAGCAGAGTGCCAGAGAGGAGATGGAGGTCGAAGACTCCCCCATAGAACAAAGCCAAGACCCAGAAGTCTCCTCGCAAGCCAACACCAGCAGCTCCATCGCTAGCTAGCTAGCTAGCTAGCTAGGTGTATAGCTAGCTAGGCAGCTGTGTAACCAGCTAGCTAGCTAGCTAGCTGGCTAGCTAGCTGGCTAGCTAGCTAGCTGGCTAGCTAGCTGGCTAGCTAGCTAGCTGGCTAGCTAGCTAGCTGCGGGTGGGACATGCATTGGAGTTAGCGCTGTGGTGTATGTACACTCGAGGGCACTGTGCAGTGAACATTGCGGGCGTTTTGTCTTCTCCTCTTTTATTTATTTATTTATTTATTTATTTATTTATTTGTTTGTTTGTTTATTTATTTATCTTTTTGTTTACTTATTTTTATTTATGTTTTCCCTCAGAAGAGACAGATGCAGCTGTCTCGCTCTTTGTCTCTCCCTGCGAAAGCAACTCAAACCCTAAACCCTAAACCCTAAACCCTAAACCATAGAGACACCCCAACGAACCCCTGCATCCTTAAACTCTAAACCCTAAACCCTAAAACCCTAAACCCTAAAACCCTAAGCTGTATAGCATGAAGCCCTAGATCCTGTAACGCGAAACCCTAAACCCTAAACCCTAGAAGAGACTGTAGGCCGTGCTATCAGGGTTTAGGGTTTAGGGTTTAGGGTTTAGGGTTAGCGGAGACAGCTCCTCCAGCAATACTGCTGCAGCGAGTAGCTAGCCAAG